TTGAAAGGGTCGAAGTTTGCCCCGAAGAGGTGACCAGCAAGGAGGGGTTTTCACTAGATTGTGGGAGAGTGGTAGCTCTCCCGCTAGAGCCAGTGCTACCCTCCAAACCAGCGGATGAAAGACCGACCATAGCAATATGGCCCGTCCCTAGGCTGCAGACAGCCGAAGTCACACTTACCACCAGGTAACTTTAAAGCAGCGTGGAAGAGACTGGGTGAGATCTACCTCTCTTAAACCCTAACTAACTTTTTGTTACCTACGTAAGCTGCTAAAGTATTTCCCCCCCTGTGGAGAGGGAAGGGGGATTTTAGCCCTTCCTCCAGAAAGAACAGTGACCGATTATCCAGGGGAGTTTAAAACATTGAAAAAATAATTGGATCCCAATCGGAATTTTATTTCCTAAAGCTTGTGGATCAAAAGAATTTCTACTTTCTATTCTTTACTTCTATTTTAACTGAAGATCTGGGTTTTTCCTGAAAACTGAAAACTGAAAAGATTAAAATAACTTTGTAGCAACATCTTGTGGCTAAACCTGATACTTCAACTTGTTATTGTCTAAAAGTACTTGGCTGACAGCCCAGAAAGTAGATAAGACTTGGGTAACTTTGAAACACCAGCTGTGAGAAGCTCAGCTTGCTTTTTACTCAGTGGGAAAAAAAAGACTCTCTTTCTGGACTCCCTGATTGTAAAGCTTCTAGTGCAATATATCATTATGGAAGAAGATCAGGAACAGACTTTTCCTATGAAAAAAGATCAGGAACAAATCCTTTTCATGTTGAAAGCAATTTATCAAACTCTCCTTACAGCTGGTGAGGAAATAAGAGCCTATAGAAAGAAAGAAGAAATCAGCCCGGATATACAAACTCAAAATCAACTATACAGAATGCAACCGAAAAAGTGGAACAATTAAATATTATGACAGAAGATTTAACTGCTCAACAAACTCAGATAATGGAAAATCCAGAAAAGAAATTGACAACATGGAAAAAGGAAAAGACTTTCTATATTAATCAGAAGGAACCTGAAGATCAAGAAGAAGAACAGATGGAAGAGAAGATAAACACTTCAGGACAACTACGTCGAGATGGAAAAATAAAGAAATCTGCTAGACTTGCTAGCCCTTTCAAAAAAATGGCAACTGGATGGTTTTTTCAACGGTAAATAATATATAACAATACAAGGAGATTTGTTTGATGACTCAAAAGCATAGACATGGAAGATGATTTGGCAAAGAAAGAAAGCTAGAATAAGATTGAAGAAGAATGGGTTTTGACATTTATGAGAATTAAAATAGAATATACTGAAATAGATAAGTGTATTTTGAATACAAGATATTACTATGAATGGAGATAAAGAAAACTTTGGTCACTTAAAATTTAGAAGTATAAATATTAATAGTTAAATTTGAATATTGATTTGCTCATAAAAGTCATGTAAAGATGATTAAGATATATATATAAGCTAAAAACCTATTAATAAATGTAATAAAAATTATTAGTTTTAAATATGAGATAGTAGATACAAAGAGGAAGAGAGAGGAAATACTAAGCATTGAAATAAAAGAAATTTTGGTTACTAGATTTAAGATATTTGGAAACTATTAGAAAATAAGAATATTTTATTGTATTATTAATTCGTTGATATAGATGGTGAGAATTTAAATAGGTAAGATGTGTACCCTGAATACCAGATTTTGTGAGAAATTGTGATAAAGGGAATTGGGAATATTTAAAATTTGGAAATGATAAATATTAAATGTCAATTTTAAATATTAATGGAAAATTAAAACTGGGAAAAATTTACTAGGACATTGATTATCTCAAAGATTGAACGTTAAAACAATTAAGATATATATAAACTAGAAACTATTGATAAATAGTTATTTTATTTGATTGATAGAATACGAAGTGTATTAATTTAAATATGAGACAGTACATATTAAGGGAAAAGAGAGGATATACTTACTGTAATAGTGTGGGATTTGTACTAATGATATTTGTATGTAATTGAATTATGGTAACTCTGTCACCACGTTGTTTTTCAAAGATATAAATGTAATATTGGAAAATCAATAAAACTTTAAAAAAAAGGAATGTACGATATGTGTGATTAGTAGAGACACGTTAAGCTCAATAAAATTAGTCAACCTTATTTTCCATGTTGGATAGTATTAAACATGCAGCAGTAATCATAGAAGTCATACAATTCATTCTGGAAAAAAGAGAGAGAGTGAATCTGTGGGATAGAATTTAAATGCACATGCAGACATCCTTTTAAAATCATCTTTACTCTCTCAAAGACACCCTTTTCAGCAGACATCTGTTTTATAAATTCATAAAAAGATACACAGAATGCCTCATTTATATTGTCCTTCACATACATACTTATAATTGAAGAAAAGAGCAAAAGAAAAATACTCAGGAATGCTTAAGACACAATTGTTCATCTTTTTGTTTTTGCTGCTCTGGGAAAATAACGTGATTCCAAGACTGCAGGAAAAATAGTGTTCTGCCTCAAGAGTGTCAAGGTTGCAGAACAGTAGAATCACCAACCAGTAGCAAGTTAGGTCAAGAGGGTGCAGAGTATCCAGACACTCACAGTCAATTATAAGCCAGGTTATGTGTCAGGCCAGAGGTCAACACAAATTCCCAGGCATATGCAAAACATCCTGCAGAGTCAGATTCCAGGCAAAGTTCCAGAAATAGTCCAGGGATCAAAGACAGATGTCTACCTTTGCTGAAAGACTCCAGAAAAACTGAGCAAGGTCAGAGGTTGGTGAAAGATCTGAAGGCTGATGAAGCCAGTGCTCTTGAAATCACAATCAGCAATATTATCTAGTCGTCAGGTCATCTATCTTCCAGGGGTATTCCAAATAATATTTTCCTGTGAGTAAGGCTTCACATCTGATTAAGATTTTATTTGAGGGGAGAGGTGTTTTTTTTCTGGAGGGCACTTACAAATTTGGATTTCAAATGCCTAAACTTTCCAGGGATGGGTGATACTTCAGGTTTTTCCTATTCCACCTAGGAACTCTCAGTCCAAGACAGAAAAAACAGATTCATTCCACACCCAACCATTCTTTCTTTGCTGATATAGATTCTTTCTGGCTTTGTCCATAGTTGAAATATGCTGCTGGTCAAGAAGGAAATGGAATAAATTTGCTTTTTATGAGAAAAGGGGACAAAGAAGAAACAATTGCCCATCCGTAATTGAGTTTGAAGATTCAAATTATTTAAAATACAGGGAACTTTATCTGAATGAGATTGGCTACTGCTATAAATATTACAAAATAAAAATAAAAACGGTCTCATAATATAATACTACATTAAATGCCATATGGGAGCACACTTCAAGTCTACGGAAGCAAAGGAATGCAAGTCTCAAGCTTCAGGCTTTGTTGGTTTGCCTTGATTTGTAATTCTGATTTTTTTGTTCAATATTCCCAGTGGCCACTTTCACAGGAATTTTTCTGCATGGTGATAATCATTCAGGATATTTTAGAATGCAAAGCAAGAAGATAAATGTTCCTCCTCATCCTTTCTAGTGTACCAGAAACAAAATTCCTCTTGTATTTATTTGATTTTGTGTGTCTCTTCCTAGATTGTTCGATCCTTCTTTCATCAGATAGTTTAATCAAAAAGTGTAAATATTTTTGAGAAATAACAAAAAGTCTAAAACTCTTATATTTTATTTTATGCAATAAACTTCTATAAAGTTCTAAGTTTAAAAATATTTGTTCTTATTTGTTTACCCATCTATATGTTATGCTTCTATTTTGGCATATGATGGCCTTTTAATAAGGGGAGGAATGCTGCAAATTAAGAATTTCCCAATTTATCAAATATTCAAATCACATATATTTTAAGTTTAGAATCCAGAATTTTGTTGACATGATTTATTTGTAAATTATATTGTTGCTTTATTACTGTTTTGAAGACAGTAACAAATATACCAATAGATTAAATGAAATAATCACCAATAAAATATTTTCTCAAATATCTTTAATGTCTTTAACTAATATCTTTACTTCCAGTAGCCTTAATCAGTTCTCAAACTCTCTTTTTTTAATTGCCTGAAAGGGCATGTGTGATTCTTCTCCATTTGTTTATTGCCTGCCATTTTAATTAATGTACTTCTTGACTCTATGTCCCTGTTCATTAATGAAGCTATTAAATGAGACAGGATCTTGAAGTAATCTTTACAGCACCTCAGCATGTGCTAACAACACAGAACAAAAGATGTTCCATGTCAAGCTGACCTTTGCCAACCTCACCCAGTTCTTCACATCATCCTTTTAATGGTCCTTTGGAAAGCAGGCGTTTTGAGAAAAGGAGCCCCCACAGATCTCCCTCAGGAAATTAACGCTCTTGTGGAGACTTCATTGCTTTGGTCTTTTGTGTCCCCAGAATGTTCTTTCCACTGAGCTGATTAGCCTTGGGGTGGTGTTTTGCATCTTTGGTAAAGTTTGTTCAACTACTTAACAGTGCGCCTAGCCACTTTTTCTAAGTACCTAGATTCCTTAGAATCAAAAACTGTAACAAAATGGGGAGGGGGAGGGGCTTAAATTGCAGCTGAATTACAAAGATTACAGCTTTCAGCTCAACTTTCCAATAACACTTTTTTTTGTTTACATTGTGAACACAGTTAAAAGGAGTTAATGAAAATATAGTTATCTAAAAAACCCTTTCTCTGATTATTGTCTTGCAGTAATGTAAAGCATTAGCTATAAAATAGTAATATTTGGGTCTCTTGAAAAAAAACCTCATTTTTCATCAACTTATAACTATCCGTTTAAAAATGGGGGGGAAAACTGAAATACAGACAGGTGAAGTAACTCTCTAATTTGCAGAATAGAAAAGGACCAGGAAATTAAATTGCACAGAAAACTTGTTTTCTTGTGTTACAAGCATTCAGGCAAATGATAGAATTGCAATTTATTATCAACAAGGCTGCTTGGTATAACCACATTTATTTTTTATGTTCTTTCTGTTTCTCTGCAGATTTGCCAGAGGATGAATTACAGGAAGCAGAAATACCATGAAAAGTACAAAAAGACCTTCAGGAGGATTTTAAAAATCTGTGCAATTACAATCCAAAAGTAATATTTTATTTTCAGTACTGAATACAGAAAGCCTCAAGAAGCAGGCCCACTATTAGAGAAAAATACTTCCCTTTTTAGCTACTGATTTTAGAGATATTTTCCCAAGGTGACATTGTAGGTGGAAAAATTCTGTAACTGATATGCAATTATAAACTCTAAATAGAAATCCATGTTGATCAAAACGTTTAATATATTTAAATATTGACATATTGGACCATGAAAGTATCCTGCACTTTAAAGTTCCTTTTTCCTTACTCTCTTGTAACATAATAGTACATTTTGATAAAAAAAATAATAATTCTGTCATCTGATGACGATTATGTTTACTATTTCAAATACACAATAATTCATGAAATTTATTTGGATTTCACTTCTGATTCATAAATTTGATGTTGAGTTGTACTGTGTAAGTTTATAACAACTGCTTTGTTTTTGTGCAGAAAGGTCTGTGCAGTCTCAGTCCTTGGTCTATTCTGGATGTTTTATTCACTTACCTGAAGTCTTTTTATCTAAAAATAAAACTATTTTAATGACAATTCCATTATGCTTAGCTCTAGGATCTTGTTGAATAATTTCAAAGAGAGGACTTTACCTATGCAAACTAATCACACAACTTAACAAACATGGCTGGGAATTCTTTTCAGAGATCATTTCTTAAATTTTGATCTCAACTGGGCAGTTTATCCAGTCTTGATTGAATTGTGTTCCACACTTGTTGGATTTTGACTCTAAAATGTTTTTAGTATATAATAATTATTTTCAGACAATGGTACATGTTTCTGAATTTACACTATTTCCATCTTGACTTCATTAGTCTTTTTGCGTGTTTTTTCTGATATACATAATGTATATCAGAAAAAAATATGCAAAAAGGCTAATGAAGTCAAGATGGAAATAGTGTTAATTCAGAAACATGTACAATTGTCTGAAAATAATTCAGAGCTCCCTGGCTCCAATTCTACATGTTCCAATTAAAGCACATGCTTCTCTTTTTGTTTTGGTCTAGTTATAGAGTTACTGCTTCCTTATAATATATGCAACATGAATTCCAAGCAATTGTCTCAGATTTTCTTAAAATTTTAAATAATTTTAAGAACTAACCAAATCTCTTAGCACCTTGAATACATTCTCTTGGCAAGTGATCCAGATCACTTCGGTTGAAACAGCGAAATGCAAATGAACATGTAATTCTACTAAGAAGTTAGAAATTTAGTATTTCAATGATTTTATTAAACTAGCATTGTTTTGCATTGTTCTTAGTTCAGACCATAGTTGGGCAGCAAAGATTTAGTTCTGCTGATTTCTTGAAAACAATTGGACCTGCAGTATTCTTTTCATTTTTAGGATATTGTTAATTTGTAAGGAAGTACAGCCTATTTTTTTAAATCTTAAAATAGAGCTGGAACAATTAGAATTCACAGAAAAGACATTCTCACTAAAATGACTAGAAATATTAAACTTTTTCAGCAAAATTATATCGATGGCTCATTGAAGTATTAATAAAAACCTGAATCATAGCCACCAGTCCCCTTTCCCCCCACCCCCTGATTCTTCCAACTATTGAAAAAGAAAAATGAATTGACAAAGAAAGAAAGGGCTCAGTTAAATTTATAGTCCCCACTGACATCCATTTGGATTTGAATTCACGGATGTCTTAAGTATGATTTATCAATGAATATTCCTGCTCAAGCATTCTGATTTTTCCCTTGAGTATTCTTCTTAAGAAATAATTGTTAATAGCAAAAATTATCCTATGACTTCTTCTCAACTTGCTATGAGAACACTGATAATTCTAGAAGTACTTTGTCGATAGCATGGTAAGCTCAAAAAAATTAATCAATATAGAATGATACATTCAATAAATAATATTTATCATGTTAACTGTTCAGAATTTTATCAGTTTAGGCCCCACTCTGTGCTAAGTTTTCATAAGTGTAGATAAGGGAGTTTAGATTGGAATGCATAGCTTATTCATGTCCATTCACGTATCAGATTTTTAAAACATGAATCAGAATTATAATTATTATATAAACTAAAGTTATTTTTAATCAAAATTAAAATTGCTATGTTCTAAGCTGGTGTGGCAAAACGAAGTACAGATCTGCATATAAAATTAAAAGAGGTTATATAGCACTTTAAAGACAAGCCAATATTATGTCCAAGCACATATTGTCAAGAAAATGCATGAAATGTTTACCAATTCCCTCTTTTTAAGCACACAGTAAAATTTAGTATAGCAGCATAAGTATCAGATACTAATCAAGGGCCCATATTTTATTGTTCCTGCTTATGATATGAATAAGCGTAATGCAAGGTTTCCCTCATGTAATGAAGAGCTGTACAACTCTCATATTTATCATTAGGAAGAATTAGCAAATATAGTGTTTCAGTATTTTTAAACAGAGAACATGTGTTATTAATAGGAAAATAAGATTAATAACCCATTATTTAAAGCAAACCTTAACAGTCACTATCTATTAAAAGGAGATCAACAAGTCTGTTTTCAGTAGCCAGATGGACTAAATAGCCCAAATGAATTCATTTACAATTCAGGCAATAATGTCACTGAATATTTTTACATAAAGTAGAAGTTGCATTCTAATAATTTGATTTCCAAAAACAAAAGTTATTAAAGACAAATGATTGTATATGTAAAAAAAGTCAAGGAGAAAAAGAAGCCAATTTATTAATTTTGGAAAGTCAAATGTACAGATATCAATAGAAATCTCCCAGAGTTCAACTAGGTGGCTATATGAATGTTTTAAATAAATGGGTGGCTATATGAATGTTTTAAATAAATAAATGTTTATGTTTTTAAGTCAGTGAATATAACATTGGTGACAAAATCAAATAATATTCTTCAGCAAAATTAAGTTAGCTATTAAGTTAGTGATATCACAAGCTGCAAAGCATAAATACAAATTTCTTACATAAAATCTTATTTATATTTTAGTAGGGTGTAAGTACATAACTCTCATTAAATATTTACATCTGTTGAATAAATGTTATGTCATTATTTTAAAAGTATGCTATAATTGTATAAGATGCTATATTAAAGTAAACATATATATCAAGATTATGATTCAGTCTCAGTTCCAACATGACCCAAAAGGTTTAGTTTATTACTTATTGGTCAGTCAAATGGCCATATAAAATAAATAGAATAAAATCATTCCACATATTGACATACAAACATATTCAATAAAATAATCAGATAATCCCATGGCAGTTAATCTCAAGGAGGAGTTAATTTTTATTTTCTGTGTAGGGCTTTTCATACATTCCTCCAATTCTGTTCTAGATCTACCTTCAGTTGAACAAACTCATGGAATGGGAAGGATATTTAATCCCATGAAAATGTATCTATTCCTATGGAGGTAGAATACCATTGGATTAATGCACTTGCTTCATCTGCTCTAATTATAACTAAATCTGGATCTGATTTGTTGTTTTCATTTCTTATTGTTACTCAAAGGCTTTTGTAATCTGATTCTTCAGAAAAGAATGTCTTATTTGATGTTCTTGAGTTGAAGATTTCATAAAATCACTTAATTTTCATCTACAGATGATTTAAGCATATAGAAGCATAAATTGGCTTAGCATCACTTGATAATACAAAGACCCAATTCCAAAGCTTGCTAAATCTAATTATCTAGATGTTATCTAAATTATGGAGTTAATTGATATTTAAATGTTACTAATCTTATGTGATTTGTAAATTATACTGTAATCATTGATAGTTTGTCTTTCTGTTTTAGAATAGTGCATTTAAACATGTTTATAAGTAGAATACTAAATGGTTATATTATGCATAATTTTGAATTATACTCAAATCTACACATTGTTTTTATTATATACCCTTTTCCATTACTTAGTAATTAGTCAATAAATAATAAATAATTTTGATTAAACTAGCTTTTATTTCAATAATATATGATTTCTTTTTATTAGCTTCCATTACTCTGTATTAAATATATACTCAATGTTTTAATTACTATGATTGAAGAATAATTCACGGAACAAAGGATGCCAAGGGAAGATAACTTTCATCTTACCCACAGATGCATACTAAAGTTTATGAATTGTACTGGATAAAATGTCTTTATCAAAATGTTGTTATTCTACATTTGGGGATTTTAACAAGTATTTGAAGAGAGATTTTAAAATCTGCATGGGAGGAATATGTTCCCATACATCCCACTAAAATGTAATAAACAAGATCTTCAGTTAGCCTTATGACATATTAAATATATACATTTGACCTCATCTTTCCAAATTTAAATCATCACTTGATTTAAATGGCTTAATTGCTAATGATTTGATAATAATATTTTGCATTCATCAGTTACATCAGATTGTTTGGTAAGAGATGTGATTATTTTTTTCTACACATATGAGTATGTTCCTCTTGATTCTGTTTCTTTGTTTTTTACTAAAGCCAGCATGTCTAAAGTCTAAATGGGGCTTCTTTTTCAGGTTAGTCAACTAAAATATTTTCTTCAAAATCTGTTCTGTGGTTTGAATCATTTATAACTTAGTATTAATTAAGATTGATCAGCAAACTGATCAAATTAAATAAATATAAAAAACTGGTATTTTCTGTGATATTACATAAGATAACCTTTAGTGTCATTTTTTTACTGTGGGCACAACAGCACACATCAAAAATGAAATTTAGTTGCCCGCTCTCAAAGTGAAACACATACATGACACACACCTAAATATACTATGTACAATATATGTATAGACCCACACCCCTACATATACGTAACAAATAAATATTAAATACTGTCCATCTTGAATATATAATGGAAGGAGGAAGCTTGAGAGTTCACAAGGTTAATGCTGTATGGAATGAAACTATGGTTGAATCTGGATGTTCTGCTACGGATACCACGGAGCCTCCTCCCAGAAAGTAACAAGGAAAGCAGGTCGTGAAGAGAATGTGTAGTATAGCTAACACATCTACAATCTCTGAAAATACTCATTCATATGGCCATCCAGAATATTGTAATAATTTGGCTGTTCTGGAAGGCCTTTATGATTTGATTTTCTATAGGTAATAAAAGGAAAGAATTATACTGAGATTATGTTGTCAATAAAAAAGTGTGAATACAATCCTTATATAATTTTGAAATAAAAAAATACAAAGTGCTTACATAGATCACACAGGTTTTAATGTAGAACAGAATATACTATGTAAAGTTTAAAGTCTCAGATTTTATCTTAGGTTTCCATTAATTGGGGGAAGGTTTCAGGGGGGGAAGAGAGAGAGAGAATATATTATATCATATTGTACCATATCACATTATATTATAGTTATATTACAGATCATTTTAAAATGTTCAATCACATAACACCAAATGGATAAAGAGATTACCATTGTTACCATTATTTCTCCTACATTTTTACTTATGACAGCTTATGGTCTGGTGTTCCATTTGAGCCTGGATGTGAGGGTTAATTTGATATTTGTTTTACCATTTGATTTC